AACACAGAGCAGCTGCGCGGCCGCCGGGCGCCACCGCGTGGCTCAGGCAGGTACTGCAATTCCATCTCCCACCGCAGCTTTCATTCAAACCTGGAACTATCCCGCCTGCTCAGACAGGCACAGCCTTCTTGGTGGCGAGAGAAAAGAATGATGCAGTGACCACTCCATCTCCATAATAATTTCTTTTTTTTTTTTTTAAGCTCAGACTTGTGAGACAAAAACTACCCTCTTGTATCTGTTTTAAACCTCATGTACCTGGCAACAACTTCTGCACTTCTGACTGGCAGATGCGGTGTCTCAAACAGCTTTTTTTACATATAATCTTTGAAGAATTACTGTACTCAGCTGCTATAGCTTGAAATAAGTTTTATAAGTAGACATCAATTTAAGCATTCAAGTAAAACAAAACATCCAGACACAAATAAGAAATAAAAATACTAGATCCAAAATCAAAAGGCAATGAATAATGCTAAAAAATACAGACAAGAGATTTCTTGTTTATTATTTATTATAGCCCACCTTTTTATTAATAAATGGAACAAACCTCTTTGGCTTGAGAACTTTCCCTAAATACTTGCCATGCTCAATCTGAGATCTGGAAATTTTAACATTTTTTTTAATTGTGTAATCCATCAAAAAAGCCTGACATGAAAGTTAACTTTCTTTCACATTCTCAGTATAAGCAAAACACGCATTGCTTCCCCCCAGCACTATTTTTGAAAGTCACCAAGGTGCAAAAAAGTTATCAGTAAGTTACCACTGGGTTTGTGGAGCCAATAGTTTGTAAAGTAGCAGCAACAGTAATTAGTCTGACAACTGGGAAATCAGACTGCGACACTGGCTCATGCAAGCTCTCACCTGAAAAATAAGTTCAAAGCAAAAACCCGTTTATATTAGTCACTTGATTTGCAATCTTTAGCTCAACACTTTGTACAGGAGACTTAAAGAGCTCTATCAGGAAAGATCCTGATGCTTCAGAGTATAAACACTGATTTTGTTACTTAGACAATCATAACAGGAAAGACACTGGTTAAAGTTTTCATCTTACACATTATTGATTCCAAAAACCTAATGAGCTTCCTGTTTATGACTGTCTGCTTTACACTGAAGAGAGTTCCTGTTTTAGCTGCCCTTTTCAGTCCTTATTAATAAAGTATCAACATAGAAACAGGCAACTGAGAGTAGATCAACCTCATTGCCTCCTAGTAACTTGGAACTATATTGATGAAATTCAACTTTGAATGTGTAGCATTACATATATTAAAAACATTACTTCAGAGATAGTGGATCAAACATTAAGACTTTTGTTAATGTTCTATAAAACACTAAATTCTGTTTATTATTTGGGGAAATTTATCCTACTTTCATTCCCCCCCTCCAAGCAGGCAGTAGAAATATGGGAATCTGATTCTTTTAATCCCGAATTCACCTATACTGAACTAGTACCCCAATATGAACATCGGCCCATTTCAGTGATGCAGCTTTTAGGACACTAGAATTTTGGGGAAGTATCATTCACTCATTAAACAATCTGCTCACTTCGTGAACTAGAAGAGAATTACCCAAACAACCCCATTAAAAGTATTTGTCTTGGACACTCACAATCCACAACCTAAAATTTAGGCTGTGTGCTAGAGCCTTGGTATAAATAACATGCCTTATGTTCCAATATTCCTACAATTCCTCAATAATACATTTGGCTCACCAGTAAGCCCCAGTAATTGTGTTAAACAGGTTTGCATATTAAGCCTTCCTTTCAAGCATAAAATTCTTCCAAGTTTAACCCTACTTTATTTGTCAGGCAGCCCAGTGAGCTCTAAATCAGAAAGAGGAATCAAGTCTTTTTTAGCCCTCTTTGCTGGAAGGCACTAGCTTGCACCACAAGGACAGTTACAAACAAGCCAGAGGGCAATGAAGACTCACAATCACCCTAACTGCTTCCAGTGTAACAACCCACATGTTGTTTGAAAAGCTACTGGCCTAGGACAGCATCGTCATTCCCAAGTCTCCAGCTGAAAGTGTTTCCCAGTTTTGGCCACTTGCAGAGATGATCAAAAGTGTTGCAGGACACATGCAAGGAAGAACTCCTCAGCAGTATGCTCATACAGCAGCTTGTGCTAGGAGAAATAAGATCCTTAAAAGCAAACTTTTCAGCTCAGCACAAAAATCAACACATACACACACCGAACCAGCGTATAAATTAACACATGCATGTGAAAACTGGATAAAGCAGCAGAAAATTTAGCTTTTCAGTTACTTGTAAGACCTTGCTATCCATCCTGGTTTAAGAAGACCCAATCAACTGTTGTCAAAACTCAGGTGAGAGTAAGTGACCACTACTACCAACCCAGGTTCAGAAAAATCACTGGCTTCAATCAAACCATGAGTGAAGGTGTAAGAAAAAAATTCTCTCAGCACTGTTCTCTTCAGTAGTTTAGACTAAGAATGTGTTAGCAACAACAGAACCATTTTCAAAGGAAAAAGACAAAGGTAAGTTTTGTTGTCCCATAACTTGCAGGTCTAAGAGGGACAGAGTTCAACCTTCTGGCATCAGATTTCCAGCTGTCGCAGAGAAAGGTTCTCCAGTGTGTCTAAAAAAGATTCTCTATTGAAATCCTGAGAGATCCAAGGGCAACCCTGGCTTTCCTAAGGAGGCTTTTAAGACTCCTTCATTTAAAGGCTCAACAAGAAGCAGCAAAACATTTCCTCTACCAGTTTCTTGAGTTAATGCTTTTACTTTACCTATTTTGCACGTGCATTAGTTCCCTCACTACTCTTCTAACACAACCCTCTGGGCCTGGATACCTGAACTTGCAGCTTTATCGTGGAACTAGGAAAAGTAAATGGCCCAGCACCTTACCCTGGTTTTGAAAGTTAAAACTGAGCATGGTCTATAGTGCCAGGTTACTAAAAACCAATCTTAAACCAGAGATCTAAATGTGGGAAAACCCACCAAACTGTGCGTAGGGAACACAAGAACTCCTGCAATTAATCCAATCCAAGCATACAGCAGTCAAGCAAGCAGAACAAAGTGGGTATTGCAACAAAAGATTTCAGTCCCATCAATTCAGTCCTGATAATGGTAGAGCTCTAATAGACTTGATGGGACTCTTTAGTACAGAGGTTCTTAGAACACAAGATTCTTTTTCCTCATTACTTGACTAATTAGATAAAATTTTATTTTGCCTAAACCCAACTAGCAAAAAATTTCAAAGTGTTATAGTTAACAAACATAAACTGAGGAATCTCCATACACAAATTAAAGCTACCTGCATTATTTATGATCAACAATTAACAGGGACTAAACATGACAAACCAAGGATAATGCTGCAACAAGTGGACTTAATTCCACTCCCAAAACATTTCACATTATTTCAGAGCATTACTGCCTACTTAATGAGTTTTTGTGGACTTGGAAGCAAAACTGAATACAAAGGAGAGCTCACAGCAGCTGCACTAAACAGCTATTTCACTTGTCTTTGCAGCTGTTTTGTAGGAATCCATACCAAGGCTAGTTACCTGTGTGCAATAGGTGAGTTGTAAAGGCAGCACCATACACTATGAAACACCACAAATAACACTACAGTGCTGCTGTTTTTTTCTTCTTAAGGCATATCAATACTGTAGAACTACTGAAGTTTTCTACATCAATTTGTGGTTTTTAAGCAGTGTACTTTCAGAAGTGAGATGGCTTAAAGACAAAAAAAAGCTACCACACCTAGTAAAGCAGCAGCAGATAGTCAGTCTAGCAGTATTAGCCAAGATATGCACAAGTAAATTAGTAAACACTACAGGCAAATACCTACAAAATGAAGTTAAAACAAGATGATGCAGCAAGATTCAATGGAACGTTAAGTGGGAGTTTGCTTTTTCACAAGCTAAGTGTATGACATTCCTTATTTTTATTAATACATTTCAGGTCCTAAATACAACCCAGCTTCTCAGTGACTAGCTAAAACCCAACCAAAACCCGCAAAACCACTGAACTCCAACTTGCACTAACTTTGAAGTGATTCCTTTACAACAGTATTGCAGAATAATCATAGTCCACACTTTGCTACCATATACTGAATAGTTAAATACTGAAGTAGGAGTTACATACACAAACATGCAAGTTAAAAGGAATAAATGAAATGCTCCACTTTATTAAGAAACCAAAAATACAAAACTGAAGAGTTCAAGGCTTCATATACTCAAACACTACTGAAAAAAATGGTATCTTAATCTTAGTTTTGTTTACTAGTAGTACTAATATTGACCAAGATTCATCTCTACAAGATAGTGTTAAAAGTTGACATTTTCCACCATTTGTGCTGTAGTAAGATAGAGTTTCAAATTAAGAACTTGGTGCAGTTACAGTAAAGTCTAGATATTTATATAGATGTGGTTTTAGTTAATATACTTTTGTAGCCAAGAGCTTTTTAGCTCAAACTACAGCTGTTTTCTAGTCAGTGAGTTTTACGATGCTTAGAGAGAGTTTGTTTAATCAGCTATAGCTCTACTGAATGATGTTCCATGCAAAGATACAGCTTTTAAGTCACCTAACAGACCTAGATGCCATTTGTTTCTGGCTACTAAAGAGACAGAGCTCTGTGAAGGCATATTTTAGAACATATTAGAAGTTAAGAGTTGAGAGACTGTATCTAGTGGTAGCATACACAAGCTGAACTACACACTTCTCTCAAGACACCCTGCAGACCACAAACATCCCCATTTGCACAAGGATGTGATCCAAACACACTTACTAGCCAAGTGTTCACTGCTTTAGTTTTACCTGGCAGTTAGTTCAGCTTTCCTCAGGTGCTTTAATTATATGCTTCAGGAAATCAAGGGAAGGTTAACTGTTAGCTCTGATTTAGCAAGAGGAGCATAACATGAGAAGCAGGAGGGCAAAGAACAAAGAATGAGAAATGCAGTACACAACCAAGCATTAGCCTCAACTGAGACAGAAGACACTTTGAAAACTTTTTCTTAACAATGCATGAAAGTTCACTTGCTTAGAGATACTTGAAATACAACTTTATTATCTAAACAAAAAAGAATGGGAATGACAGAAACAAGATTTACCACTTAACACTCTGATGTGACTGCAGCAGTCTTATATTTGAAACTCAAAAGGGGAAGTAATTGCAGTCCAAAAAACAGCTAAATATGCAGGTCCAAAATATTAAGTTTTTTTGTTTTTTTTTTTTTTATTTTGTTTTTTTAAACTGCCACATTCACTCCGAAGCCCATTCATCTCTTTCAGCATCCCAAAGATTAAGCACATGTTCTGCTCAGCTAGATAATAAAGTGGCAAACACGCTGCACCACTGACATCACAGGACAGTTGCCTATAAAACTAGACTTCTGACGCTGGGCTCCAGCTTCATCCCTCACAGGTCATCATCTTCATCTGGCAGTGCAGTGGTCTGAGCAATCTGCAACACAGAAGTTACACTTAAGAACTGTTCTTCAGTTTTTTTGCCCCAGGAGTCCAAACACGAGTTATCAGGCAATCATTTGACCTTTGTGCCCTTTCTCACGTACCTGTAAGTCTTGCTCATACTGTGCTGCCAGTGCTGGGTCCATAACAACTTCAGGTGGTGCAAGAGCAGGCATGGCAACAAACTCCAAGTTAGGGTCTCCAATTAGCTTTCTAGCAAGCCAGAGGAAAGGCTTCTCAAAGTTGTAGTTACTCTTAGCTGAAATGTCATAATACTGCAAAAAAGTACATATTAAAAGACATTATTAAAAAAAAAAAAAGACATCTCTAACTGATATTTAGGGCATTCCAAGATTAACATGCACAGAATCAGCTCTACTTTTACCTTAGTAATTTTTTTTGATCACAACTTCTGTTTATGCTCTCAGAAACAGTTATGGTTTAAGTGTCTAGAAATGTACAGTTTCAGGCAAAATTTATAGGTAGAAATTTGTAACAGAGAAGGTATACAATCTGATCAAAGACAGAACTTTCAGCAGGTTATAGAGCATCTATCTTTTTCCTGTCACTTGATTTACTTTAGTCTCACTTCTGCGTCATCTGATGATATTCTGAGCAGCAAAAGTCAAAAGTAAACAAGCTCTTTAAGAACCTATCGCAATTTCTGCTCAAGATCAGTGATGATCTTTTAACACCATTACATCCCCCTTCTCTGAAGTCAGGTCAACAGGATGAAAAGTTGCAATATTATAGCCTGTAGTGACAAAGGCAGAACACTCAATTACTGCACAGAACCCAACAGCAGTCAGCAGACCCCGCAAATCTGATTCCTACAGACTCATGCCAACATACCTGCAGATTCTTCTTCCTGTGGAAGACAATGGATTTTGCCTTGACTTTTCTGTCCTTAATATCCACTTTGTTGCCACACAACACTATAGGGATGTTTTCACATACTCGTACCAGATCTCTGTGCCAGTTAGGTACATTCTTGTAAGTAACTCTTGATGTTACATCAAACATTATGATGGCACACTGAGCTGCAATAGAGAAGAGTTACATCAGGAGATTAAGTATTTGCTTGCAAGATGGGAGAGAGTTACCCACAGAAATCCCACATTAACATTAAGCATCTGCATTAACTTTTTCCCTTGCAGCCCCACAGTTCTGAGAGTCCATGTTCTGTTAACAAGTTCAATGCACAAGCCCACAGAACTGAGGCTGTGATCACATCATCTCACATGTTTAGTGCCTTATCTTAAAGATCAGCTAGTTTCAACAATGCAACTGTCCTACTCAGTATCATGGTGTTGCTCAGTATGAGAATATACAAGGATTACAAAAGTCAACTTTGATTTAGACAAATCTTTGACAGAAATTAGTCAACACCTATTTAACTAATCTCAGGCATCCCACTGAGGCTTTCAGGTAGATTGAGTTTGTAGTCCACATCTCAGGATGCCCTTGTCCAGAAGTTTTTCTGTTTCATCAGCAATATCTTGTAATTTCAGGTGCACCATTACTCTTCATTAATACCAAAGCCCACAATAGCATACTGAAACACAGTCTTACAATATTCCTACACCAGCACAAGTTGCCTAGCAAAGGAAGTTATCATCTCCACACAAAGAGTTTAAAGACCCAGAAACCAGCTCATCACTGTAAGCCACACTGACAGCTTTCAGAGTGGCCAACATTAACAGAACGAAGGGTTGAACTGTAAGAGGTACAGAATATTCCTACATATACACACAGCTTACCTTGAATGTAATAGCCATCTCGCAGGCCACCAAATTTCTCTTGGCCAGCTGTGTCCCATACATTAAATTTAATAGGGCCTCTGTTAGTATGGAACACCAGAGGATGAACTTCAACTCCCAGTGTTGCTATAGTGATAAGAAAAAACAGTGCACTTAGCAAGTCATGAATTGCACTTTTAATTGTAACATATTAGATCTCAAATGTTTCTTCAGACATACCTACATACTTCTTTTCAAATTCACCAGTCAAATGACGTTTTACAAATGTTGTTTTACCAGTTCCACCATCACCAACCAGGACAAGCTGTTGATAAAGGCAAAAAAGTCAGAGCAATACACTTCTACAGACACTTATCAGTCATTTTAGCGTAAATACTGATTATTAATACAAAAACCTTAATACCACAAGATGCTGTAAACAGAAAACTGAATTGCCCATGAAGAGACTCATTGTACTGGGACCCAACTTCTTAAACCTATCGTGCTATAGCTCCAGTCAGACTTACCTAGTTCCTGCAGCTGAAAACACACTGTGAATACAGTTCTACTAGACTACAAGTGACTGAATTACGAATTTTGGTGGTTTTCAATGTGAATGTGACCATATTTAGAGAGGAACTGCTTTAAGCACCCAGATTAGAGAAACTGATCATAATCTTACAATTAAAAGAAAAACCAACCCACACCATGCAACCCCAAATAACTGCACTATTAACAACTGGAATACTCTCGCCAAGTATTGTAGGAAAGACAAATAACAACCTTTCATAAACCAGTCTTAAGGACTTCTGGCTGTTTAGAGAAAGAAAACCCACACAAATGCCAGAAAGTTCTGTTCTGAAACTTTTTAAGTCTTCTTCTCTAAACAATTGATACACAACAGAAAACAGACTACTCTAATTCACTCTAAGCACTTTTTGCTGTGAACTTCACTTCTGAAACTTGGAAATCATTCTATAGGCAAAGCATCGCTAAACTGTGTTACGCTAAACTACAAACAGCATCAGATTGACACAGTGCAGCAGTATCTTTTTGTAAAAGTTATATACAATACTACAATAAACTAACTGCATCATTAAGGAAATACCAGCACTTCAAAACCAAACCTACCATCTACGCTGGCACTAAAGTGTCACTCGTGTTAGTTTTCTACAAAAGGGGGAAAAAAAAACCCAAACAAAACCAACAAAAACCCCACAAACCACTCCCTTACCTTAAACTGCACTTGGGGCTCTCCTTGGGCGGCCATGCTGGGTCTGCAGGGGAAATGGAAGCATGTGAGCTCACAACAGGCGAGCTGATTCAAGGCCCGGCCGGAAGGGGACGGGCGCCGTTTTCCGTTCCCAACCTCCCCAAAGGCGCGTACCCTGCGCGCCAGCCCGCAGCGCCGGGGAAGAGGCCGAGGCTCAGCCCACGCC